TCTGACAGCACAATAAGGCACCACACAGAGCTGAACACAGAGGCAGGAAAACCTTCTGTCTTACTCATAAACCCAGAGAGCAAAGTGAATCGGTCGGTTCAGTTCTTGTAAACTCATCCATGAGTGACACAAAGAGAGACAGGAAACATATTAAGAGTCACAAAACTTGATAAACTAAGGAATAAAGTCCTATCAGGCCTTCTGTCCCCCTAAATGTGTCCTTCTGTCTGTAAATATATAATATATGATAGATCCATAAAACAAGCACTTCAGATGTGTGTGTGTGTTGTGATCTTTCTTTTTGAACATGATCATGATTTTCCAATTCTTACTGAGCCTCTGCTGGGTATTTAAGTTGTTCAGCTTCACAAAGAGGGACAAAGAGGAAGTCATGGCAAAATGAAAAGCAATGACAAATCTCCATGGATAACAGAAATGTCTGTGTGTGAGTGTGTGTGTGCACGTCTCCGATCTCTCTACATTCCATTTCCACCATCCGCAGTGTCCAAATAAACCGTCAACCCTGACATGCCAGATAAAGTGTGTGTGTGTGTGTGTGTGTGTCACAATATTTGTCTTTTGTTATTGGAGCTCTGAGGCCACAGAGTCTTCTCTAAACACCCAGCTGTGAATTATTCAATAAATAAACACGTCTAGGACCTCACACACACACACAAACGTATCCGCTGTGTTTGTGCCCAAGAAATGTGCATACACACATTTCAGACAAAATACATATTTGTTTTAAAGGTGGATAAAGCCTTGGATTTAACACACACATACACACTTACACACACACCTATCAGAATCTAACTGGTATCTCAATCCAGTCACTAAACATGTCCATACAACGGAAAAAAAAGAAGAAAAAAATTGGAATGTGTGAGTTTGATAGTATAAAGTGGGAAAAAGTGAATGATTTAATTAACGCTAGCGACACGAACACAAACACCTTTTCATTTAGTCTCTGCTTAAGTGAATTTGGTCGCTGATCGATGAGAGCAAGGTGAGACAGAAGCTGCTGCCGGATCAGATGATAGGGTGACACCTACAGCTTATGTAAGGTAATGCATGGGGCCACAGGCTCCACCTGATTAAAAAAGAAGAAAAGAAGAAAAACATTTCCTGTTGCATTGATGGACAGGTGGACCACAGTGTGAAACCAAACCACTGACTACCATCTTGGAATTTGCCCATGACTTAAATCAGAATTTTCTGTATGTATGTGTACTCAGCAGACCATGTTTTTCTTCCTTTTTTTTTGGGGACCCATAACACTGCTGAACCTCGCTATGACCAACAGAAATCCCCTCAAATCATAGGCTGGCCCTCCACAAGCTTTAGGGCAGGCGCTAAGCATGATGGATGAAGCACTCCATCCATCCCTTTTCTTACTGCGATGCCCCTCTCTCTCTGGAACAGGGTTTATCTGGACTCATTAGAACGGGAGACCTTTTTCCATGGATGCAGAGACGTTTGCACCATAGCAAACGGAAGCTTTTGATATACAATCATTCCTGATAAGAGCTCTTTTGGCATCGCTCATGTGAAAACATTGAGTGAAGCATTGACTACCAGCAGACGCTATCCTATGAGGTTTTAACAATTTGTTGAAAACGTACACATGTTCAACACCTACATAAATCTCGATAGAATAAGAAAATTGCAATAAATATAATACAATTTGAAGTTCACTTTCCATGTATTACAATTCTAAGTTTCCTGAAAAGTGCTCATTAAGTAAACGGGGTCATCTTGGCATGTGTGACAAAAATATCCAGTAGAATGTTGTAGCAGTATTACTCTTCTGACCTTTTAAAGTTTTTCACTTTTCAAAAAGTCCTTAAGACATGTAACCCAAAGAAAATCCTGAACACGTTTGATAAAATATCAGTTAACACATTAGCTGTCAGGAACACTGATCATTTGAATACTGAACAATCCAGCAGATTACCCTTCAAACTTCCTGCTCATAGTTAAAATGCGCCAATGGAAACAGCTAAAGATAATAACTGCTTACCTTTAATAATGCAGGCATTCCTAACAGGGGCCCAGCTGTCCATTTAGGCCTTCATGACAGCTCAAAAGTCGAGGATACATCCAGGAAAGACCAATCAGTGAGGAGCTCTTTCCCTGCTGTCAACCATCAGGTAAAAGGTCGTACTAACGCACTCTGTCAGTGTGTGGGATAGAAATGGCATTATTTTCCTTTAGACTTAAATTTATGACAGTGTTGTTAAGATTAGCAAGTGAAACGTGAGAGCCATGAGCACTTGTTGGAGCCAGCATATAGAGTTGGGTTACCTCTCACCTTTGTTCCCTCACAACAAAGTCTGGATCAGGAGAAGACTTATTCTAGTTTCCGCTTTGAACAGGATACTGTTGAATCATCCTCAAAAACCTTTGAAAATCTGTTTCCAAAGTGTTTTCTTCTCCCATAAAGAAGCTACTGGCCACCTGATCATAAATAGGTTGTGATGTTTGTGGCGGCCTGACGGAGTTTTACTATCTTACCTCTTTATTACCATGAAGCTGAGGTCTGTCTGTCCGGTCCGCCATGTGTCCGACTGCAGGAATGTGTCCTTAGGTCAAAGGCCAGTCAGGCATCCCCTCAGAAATACTTCATCACTATAAAGGAGTGAGCTCATCTCCACAGGCGCAGTGTTCCACGCTAGTTGTTTTGCACATGCTTAGTTTATTGGGCTCCAAACCCTGTTAAACATTTTATAACTGAAGTTAACCCAACTGAAAATGACTTGTTTGGACACGCACTGTCAGGTAAACCAAAGCAAAGGGTCAAATGTCAAATGATTTTTTTCATTTTTTATGAATGTGGCTTTGTTTAAGGTTATTGTAACCTTTATTTTCATACAAAGAGTGCATTTTGGAGAAATTCATTCAGAGTTGCACAATTTTCCAGCCATATCTGACACGGGAAGTCGCAGTTGTGTTCAAGTTTATTTTAGATTAGTTTTGAGTAAACACTCCAGGAGATTGCAGCGTGAGGAGAAGACATGATGACATGAGTGTGTGTGTGTGTGTGTGTGTGTGTGTGTGTGTGTGTGTGTGTGTGTGTGTGCATGTTGTGCAGCGGAGGAGGGGTTCAGGGGGGCTGGAAATGTTTTCTTATTATAAATGGGACTTTAGAGAAAAGGCTTAGGGACCAACGGTTTGATTGAAGATTCTGCATTTTGCCTCATTTTAAAGAGAAAAAAATCTGTTTTAGCTGAAAACACGTCACACGACTGGAATTATTCTGTGCTATATTTAGATTATAAATCACTCAACCAACTGTCCTTGTTAACTGAGACTTTAGATAATATAATGTGTTACAACCTTGTGTTAGTGCAAATCTTTATCTTAACCTTTGGGAGTTGGGCACCTAGATTCTACAACAGTAAAACAAAACAAAATATAAAAAAATTTCTATCAATTGCCCCCATTTAAACACACACCAGGATTTAGATTTTTACCACAACTTGTCCCCAACACTAGAACGTTTAACTATAGGAAGTGTGGCTCCATCTAGTGGACTACAGGACACATGACAAAATCATCACTTAAAGGGAGAATAATCCAAATACGCAGGGATAAACTCCTCAGATAGTAACTCTGTTGTGACCATAGATCTGTCCACGTCTGCAGAGCTTTCAAAACTGCGTTTATTGACCTAACGACGAGTCTGCCAACAGTTCCAAAGAGCTCCAAAAATGCCAACAACACACAGCCAGCATTCCGGAATAAAAATCTTGTGAAAACACACACGTACAATTGAGAAAATTGGAAAAAAAAAAGGAGAAAAAAAACTTGTACACACGAGCCTTCATCTTCGGGAGAGGACCAGAAACACACAAAATCACACCTTAAATAGCAGCTTTTGTACAGAGCACGCACACATCCACACAAAGACAAAACAAAGGAAAAATAAAAAAAAACAGAATGAACAGACACACAAAGCAAAACCCATAGTGCAGTTGCTCATTAAAGGGGAACTGCTAACAATGAGACCTTGTTACCAAATCCTGGATATAAAAACAAAAAATTACTGTGTAAATTAAATGATTAACAACGACAATTCACAGATACAAAAGGATTGGCCGATAAAACATATGAAGGGAGAAAACAGTTGTGTGTCAAAAGGAATTTGATATGTCCCTTTATCACGATGTCATTACCGTACCGTCCAGATTAATTCAGAACAGCTGTCCTGTCCCGCCTGCTCAAGTAGGACCTTCAGACTGAATTATGATGTTTCTGACAATGCTGAAAAGAAAATGTGAAAAGCTACAAAATCTCATTTTTCTTGAGCAAAGCGTTACATTAGACTGAGCGTGTGTTAACGTGTGATGCCGCGTCTCAAAACGTCAACCGCTCTCAGTTGGAGGTCGGCTTTAAAAAAGACATTCAGAGTGAGAGCCTCGAAGCTGAGAGCTGCACTCTGGATGACGGGCACAATCAAACCACCGTCCTGCACGAGGTTAATTTTTTTCTATAGTTCATAAAAGGTTGTTGATTGGTCCAAGATGGCCTTCAAAATGACCCAGAATCCAATGTGATGTATTTAAACTTATTTGTAAAGAATTTGGATCGAAATAAGAAGATAGAAAATTTTGCTGCGAGTCGAACGTTAGAAATGCAGCAACGTGTCACATTTTAAAAAGTAGATTTCAAATACATTCAGCATTTCAGTTTAGGGAGTCTTTTTGAGTCTTCCAAACTGTCTAGAAGCTCGTATTTGTTTTTTTAAACAGAGTCGACATGCATTTGGATCCTGGCAGGTACCATCACAGAAAGAAAAACTAAAATATGGTCAAACCACCAGTACACCAGAAAGATCATCCACAGCATGACTGGCCTCTGGAGGTCTGACCAGATAATCATAAAAAAACAAAAGAAAAACACTTGAAAACTGACCGTAACGGGGCAAGATCTCATTTAGCAAACTCTGTGACTTGAGCATGAGTTTTGGCAGCGCTTCTTCCTCCGGGTGCGGACACGCCTCACAGCTCCGTCTTCTGCCCAGAGAGAGGCACCTGAGGCTGGATCTCCTCGTCGGACGTCCGCCCTCCGTCCGTCTTCTCCACCGGAGATTTGCCCTTTTTCTTCTTCTTCACCTTCTTCTCCTTCTTCTTCTTTGCCACTTTCTCTGCATCTCCCCCGTCGCCTCCTGCCTCCCCCTTGCCCTTCCCTTTCTTCCCTCCCTTCTTCTTTTTCTTCTTCTTCTTGTCCTCTGCTAGGGCCGCCTGGTCGCCCTTTTTCCGGGTCCACTCCTCGTTCAAGCAGGCTGGACGGGGAAATGTGAGGGGAGGGACAAATGAGAGTCGCAAACGGTCAGTTTAAGGAAGAGGAGGAACCAAGTCCGAACAACAACAAAAAATAAAACCCTGCGCTTTACCTTGGTCCTGTCCTTTGAGAACATGCTTCTCACACAAGTAAGTGGTCAGGTCCTCCTCCTGGTTGCCTTTGTACCAGTCCTCGATTACTTCCTCGTACTGCTCTATCATCACATCACACTGACCATAGACACAGAGACAAGTAAATACTGTCAAGCCACAGTGGTTTGAAGCCAGACATTTTTGTATCTACACAAGAAAAGCAGGTAGAAATTTCACTTCCTCATTCATGGAGGGGATAAAGAACATTTTAAAAAAGAGACCTGTTTCTTAAGGTCAGCCACTTCAGCCGAGGTCTCGTTCCACAGCTCGTAAGGAATATCCATCACTACATTGACTCCTTTATTCACCAGGCCATGGAGGGTGGAAAAGGTCTCCGACATGCCCTGTAAACAGACACACACACCTACTTTACAGTCCCACAGATGCCGGTAAAATGCGTCTTTTCACGTAATTTTTGCCGCCTTTAATGCCCCTGATGATTTCCGACAGGAACCTTTCCTTCAGATTTATGAGCAGATAAGCATCATTGACCTAATTTTTTTATATATATACACATACATACACGGTCACATTTCAACTGAGGTTGAAAATAGGGTTAATATATATAAAAATATAATAAAACCAAAGTCAGAGGCTGCTGCTCATAAGCTGTATACATCAGCTGTTTGTTTTGAGGCTGTTTGGATTCGTGCATCTGACACACTGACAAAGAATTTCTGGTGCAGGTCCATTCAGCCTTGGTTTTTCTCAGACCATTAAGTAGGCCACCAGCCTCTTCAAGTGCCCTTCTGGACTTTCTAGTGCTCATGGTTTGTTTTGTTCGTTTGTTTTTTCTCCTGCAGGCTGATTAGTTTCTGAACTTCACTGTTTTTGTGGTTAAAGACAGAATTCATCTGAGATGGTGGAGCTTCAAAATGAACCATTTGATTTAAAGAAAAACAGTCAGAGCACCTAGATCTTTTTCTTAAACAGGCTGAACGGGTTTGTTCTCCTTTGTAAAGCTAATTTTCCATGGTTGTTACCATGATTTAAGGCTGAGGTAAAGGCACCTTTAATACATGTAGAACAGCCAAAATGCTGTACCATGTGTCACTGAACTGACTTTTTTTAACTCTGGCATTTCATTTTAATACAGAAATCAAAATGTATGGTGCACATAAAACTAAACTTTGATGGCTTTGTGGTTTCCTCTGAATTATGTACTTATTCTTGGTTAAATGATCAACAAAACAGTGTAAAAAGCCACCATGTAGACAAAACCCTCTCACACAGACCTTGGCGAAGCGGTTGCTGCCGGTCCTCTCTTTGTGCAGGTTGTACTCCAGCAGCCTCTGACACACATTTTCCACGACCTCGATAAATCTGAGATCCCTGCAGTCGGACACAGATGTTCAGAGTAAACATTATGAGAAAAACAAGAGTCGGGTCAAACGGTTTGGTGGTGATCAAGGAAATGTGAAGTGCAGGGCCACACATTGGGCTGGAATCAGCCCCTCCTTTTATTGTTTTTAGTTTTTGCATTTTTATCTCCAAGCAGCCAGACTTGTTCATGACCACAAAGAAAGGTCTCCTGCTTTTCTTAAAGCCACTAAACACTAAACCAAGCATGATCCAAGCATAAAAAGAGTAATTAAATAAAGGGATGAATCCAGATGCATCTACATGAGATAGATTACTTATAATTTTAAAAATAATAACTTGCTTTGGGTTATTTATTTAGAAACTTTGTCTGTCTCAAAGACACATCATTCGACCGTTGTAGAATTGTACAAACTAGGTAGTTGGCAGAGTACTGTTATCCAAAAAGTGAGCAGATCTCAACAAGGCGTGGAATGTGAGAGAATACCCTCTCAGGACAGGGGAAGATGGAGGAATAGCTCCTGCATGGTAAAAGACGCAAGAAGAGGGCTTAAAATCATGAAAGGGATCTTGTGGAGGGACAGTTACTGAAGCACAGTGTGTTCACACTGACAGAAACAAAAAAAGAAAAAACACCCAAAGAGTTTGGGGGAATTGTTATAGAAGCCGGCCGTACTATTCCTGAAGACTACTTAAAGAAAAAGACAGATCGTTTTTTTCTCCTAGGCCGTGATGTGTTTCCATCTGTGCCTGCACGGCCGTCAGCCTCTTCCCCTCCCACAAGCTGAGCGCTTCTCACTCACGCTGACAGCAGCTCGCCATGTTCTATAATAAGTTCCTCCACAGGAACTGAGCCTGACCAAGTTCCTGTCCCCCGATGCCGCCTCTGGGCCTCAGAGAAAGACCCAGAATGAGGCGTTCAGGTGCAAAGCCACGTTGCCGGGACTCTTGAAGGGGAAATGACAAACAGAAAAGGCGCTGCACATAAACGCTCCAACTCACGACTTGACATATTGAACCGGCGGCGCCCCCTTTCCATCTATGAAGTTGTAGGTCCTGTCGATGACGGCTTTGGTCTTCCCCGTCTCCTGGAAGGACGACTTCATCTCGATGCTGACAAACTTGCAGACTGGAGAGGGGAGCAGACAAAACAAAATATAACGAACAAAAATAGTATTACAGTATAATAATTTGTTAATAGACATTTTCCATGTTGATCCTTCTGTCTCAAAACAACTTAAACCATTTGTATAGAAAGGAGATTCAATCTATTAAAAACATCATACTGGGCCACTATGTCATCTGAAAAGCGTTTGTTTTAAAATAGTTTTTAATTAACAGATGATCGTGGTGCTTGCTTAGACATTTCCAACATAAATGCGTCAACCAGAAAGCTTAATGAAGAAAGATCAAACTGTCTTGGCATCTACCCCGAAATTGAAATATTGCATTGTTCTTCTTTTTTTTTTTTTAAATGTTTGGTCCAACAAAACATCGAAGGTTCAGGTTGAGAATTACCAGCTAAAATCTAAGCTAAACAGGGGTTAGGCTCGTCTAAAAAAAATAAGCATGGGCCTGTTTCTACTGCAAGCCAGAAGCCTGTGAGAACAACTATGAAGAATGTCGGTTATTAGTGCCAATGCTGGATTTTCTGCCACTTTTCGGGCCCAGTTTTGGGGACCACTTGCTGCTGAACTTCACCGTTACCTTCACATTTGTTGGGAAGATGAACCCAGTCATCGTCTCCTTCACTCTTAGCTGCTCCCACCGACGAAATGATCAATAAAAAGGAGAACTGTGCCAGTAAAACCATACCGTCGGCTGTCTGCACCTCCTTATCTTACTTCTAATTCAATTCGAACCATCAGAATCCAGCATACAGCATCATTATTTCCCAGTTAAACATTTCTCTATGAATCTGTACCAGTGGGGGAAAAAGGGATAGCTTCACTTCCGCTATGGGCGTTACGCCCAATATTGACCAATCAGAGACCAAGAAGTGGCAGTCACTGAATCAATGGGAAGAGTTAGAAAATAAGAGGTATCACTCTGCGCATTTTTCATTGTACAACTTGAAATAGCAAAATCATTTTGCCAGTGATCTGAACTAGATTAAGACCCTCAAACAAACAAATGAGTCCGAATAAAAAACATGACATTTATTTTTATATTTCCATCTAATAAAAAAGTGAGTGGAAACACTAAGTATATACTTTGAGAGACTTTTTCACACCTATCTATTTTTTATGGATCTTCTGTTTGAATATAATTTATTTTGAGAGGGGATTAGAATTATTATGGAAGCACATTCCCTGTGTAATTGGACCAGCAAGTGAGAAAGCCTGTAAATTCTGATGTGAGAAGCGAGTTTTCTACAGATGAAGGGTTGTACACTTTTGTCTGAGTACTTGAAAGGACTACTACACGATCAAAATGTTTTTCCATGAAATAAGAAAAAGACCAGAGCTCATCTTACTTCAATATTCTATTGTAATGTACATACGCGTACAGTAAGTAGTGATTGACAAGCCTTTTACTAATAATAGGTTCATCTTACCTTTAGACCATCTTTGGAATCAGGTGTGTTGCAATGTTGGATATTATCCAGCAGAGGGAGCCAAGCACATTTTAAACAGACTCAAAGACCTAATTGATGATGTAACACTAAATGTCTGTTTTTAGGAGAAATGCTGTGTTCCATTTGCAAAACATTTTTCTCTTATTCAGTGCTGTCTTCATACCAACCGACACGTGAGCCCACGGCCTGACACGAGCTGCACGCAATCCACATGAGACAAGGAAAAATCCAGCTACCTTCAATTTCATCCTTTACTTTCCTTCGTTGTGCCAAACAATGTCCTCCAAAAGCTACTTTGCTTATTCAGGATAAAAAAGAAAAGGAGAATGGTTTGACATTCATGATTTGGCAGATGAATATGCATATTCTTAATCTTTCATCATAGCCTTCTTTTACTGTCATCAATAACAAGCTCAACTTAATTTTTGTCACTGTGTGCATGGCCCTAGATTAATTTTACAACATGCAAAGTACAGATGTTCTACAGTTTGAGCCTCCCAAAGGAGATTTTATTTACTTTTGTCAGTGCTGAATCAATTCTGCAGAGCTGCATAGTAGAATGAGTATAATTTGTCAACTCAAAAGGGAAGGTTGTGAGGTACTAATTTGCTGGTTATTCACTTAATACAACATGGCAGCATCTGTGAACTAAACATGTCATAAGGAACCGTACTTGTTATCTTAATATTGTTGTCTGGAATTAAACCAGAAGACAGATTCATAATTATTTTCTTGACTTTTAGGATTGCATCGATTCTTACCTGCTCTCTGCAGCCTTCCTGGTTATGTGAGACTTTGACATAATCTGACAAAGTGAGGTTTCTCCATCGTGCATCACGTCAGTCTGTCAGGTGACCGGCCAAAGTTAAAAGTTTTTTGCAATATATACATCTGCTGTCTTTGACTACATTTCAATAAACCCAATCATTTGTTGTACCTCCCAGTCTTACCCATTCACTAGTGGGCTCATTTCAAGTAAACAGGATTTAGCTGAGTTTTAAAATCCTTTTGATGAACAGCAAATGTGCACATGTACACATTCACTCTGAAATATATTGTCTGTGTATTTGACTGAATATGACTGTGTGTGTGTGTGTGTGTGAGAGAGAGATTTTCATGGGGATATAAGAGCATTTCTCAGTTGGGTGAAAGTCCAGTTTTTCTGAGAGGTGCTTCAGTGCACCGCTGCCTGCCAGCCAAAAGGAGAGCCAGCTTCTCATTCCGCAGTGCACACGCACACACACAGATCATTGTGTGTCTCATAGCAAAACTTGACACCGAGTTGGTGGAGGGGAGGTTGATGTAGAGAGAAAAAAGAAAGAGTGAGATGAAAGCTGGTTTTTATTCCGCGCTGCAGCCCACACAACAGGCAAACCGGGGCTTTGTTGGAAAACTCTCATCTCTCTCTGCCATGCTCTCCTTTTCAGCCGTTCCTTGAATAAAATAATAACGCATTCAGTTTGTGTGACAGGTTGTTGAATAGCTCCAATACCGCCAGCCTAAAAAGAGGCACTCTTGTTTAAACAAATAAGCACTCTAACAGATGAAGACAAACATTAAGCTGAAAAACCACTGTGATCTCAAAAATGAAACTGTGATTAAATGTCCTACATGGACATGCAGGGGCACTCATTCTACCTCCGGCTCCTCTCAGTTTGGGTTTTTTTCCTCAGAAATTTACTTTTTTTCCCCTGAAATTTCGATGAAACCATTGAAGAATTCGGAATGTTGGTACACAGAAAATGTTATAATCAACACTGAACGAAACTGTCATGTAATTTTCTGTCAACAATTCAATTCCATGTTAATTGAAGGGTAAAAAAGATGGCTGATGAAAAAAAAAGAGGATTTCCCACTGCTAGTAGATAAAGAACATCCTCCAAAAAGACCACAAGCAATATCAATGCTGTATGAAGAATATTTGAATTCAGCTGGTGTATACTGCTAGCTGTCTGTCAGAGGTTACGAGTTCCAAAATTACATAGAAATGAGCACAAATCATATTGCTAATGTTGGATTAATCCATCCCCCAATTTCAAAGCCTTACAAGTCCTTTCGTCAAATTGGCTGGGCCGATTTCACAGGTTTGTTACCGATGGGAACAAATGTGAATCTACGATTTCCAGGCTGCTTATCACACATTGTTAATCTACTCGGAGGAGGAAATGCTCTGTCATGGTGTTGAATGGTGAAGATTTTTATTGACGGGACTGTTAGCCCTTTATCTGATAAATTACATCATAGTACATTTATCTACGGAACAACTTCACGCATTTGGTATAATGTGAATAACTGAAAGATTTCTGAATACATTTCAGTGGTGTTTGACACTTCTACTGCCAAGATGACTGTGATCCCTTACATACAAACATTTGGAAATAGGAGAAATATGATGAAGTGTGTAAGATAGTAATGCGGGTGCCTTAATGCCTTTGTCTTGGCACCCACAATAATCAAAGATTAAGATCACAACCTAAAACACATGGTCGTACGGTCACAGCTGCACTGTACAAAAGAAAATCCATTTGATGAGATCGTCAGTCTAAAACAACATATTTCTTGTTCTTTAGGTGAGATAGAAATGTCAGACTGAATGTGAGTGAAATCACAGGGTCTCAAAATGTGTCAGAAAATAACTGGCGCTGCTGTGCTGGAACAAGAGTTCCCTGTAGAAGATGGCTGTTGTGAGGTCAAGTTAAAAGCTGTTTGAAAGAGACAAGGGAGTTACATGGGTTGCTTCCTTTTTAAAATATTTCTCAATTCGGATGAAATCATATCATGCTTGTCTCCATTTTCTGAACGCTAGAGGTTCCTTTGAACTCTAACTTTGCATCACTATCAGTAAACTGGGGTCATATGTAAATACCAAAGCATTCTACAAGACCGTTATACACTGCTGTTTAAGGAGAAATTTAAATTAAACCAAAAAAATGTCATGAAATTGTTTTTCATGGAGTTGCTTTTATTAACCTAATTTGAAATCATCAGTTTGAATGAAAACGTCAAATAAGAAGCAGTGAGCAGATTCTTACAGAAGAGGGGGGGTAAAGGGCTATGACGATAAATGATAGTATTATAGACAGCATGCAGTGGGCAAGGGGAAAGGGTAACTTCATTTCATAGTTGGGAAACTGCATTTCTTAAAGGTTTCCCGGAGGTAAACTGCGGCACATTTTAAAAATGAAGGTTTAAACATCTCTAAAAATCAATTCAGCTCGACCTTATGAGAAAATATGTTTTAGGGAAGGGAAGAAACAGTCTGATCACAAAGAAACTTTTCTAAGGATGCCTTTATTAAAGAGTCAACAACGTGCGCTAGCCGTCCGCTTCTAGAAAAATAACACAGTCATACATTCATCCATGTGGAAATCCATAAAAACAAAGATAAACAAGGACAGTTCTTTATTCTTAAAGCTAAAAATCCCTTTAGAAAGTGAGATGGGAACCTGAAAGATGCCATATAGTGTGTATGTATTGTGTATGTGTGTGCGTGCGTGTGCGTGTCTGTGTGTGACAGTTTTGCTGTGTGCAAATGCATCTGTGTGATGAACAGAGGAGTCAAATTATTTCGGCCCTTCGTCTTAAAGAAGTTCTTGATACAATCTTTTTACAACCCTGAAGGAGAAAAAAAAGTGTTGATGATAGACAGGTGTTCACATTTACATGTATGATTTAAGATTTCTTCTCTCACTGTAATAACAAGTAAGCAATTCCTCACATTTAGATCAGTTACAGCTTTAGAGTTATGGCCTTTGTTGTTCGTTTCTTTCCCCATGCATCAGCTGTTATTCAGCAGCACAAAACCAGCCAGTGCCAAAACATTTGTACTTAGAGTGATGTCCTGATCTCCTCCTATACACAGGAGGAAAAACAAACCAGAACCACAGTCAGAACAACAAGAGCAGTAGTTGTATTTATAACGCACAACTTGAGATGTTGACAACTAAGTGCTGAAAATATGTGCAAATCTGCCTTTTCGAACCAAACAGTACTGAAGCAAATGCATAGGTGGGTCAAACTTTATGGGGTGAATGGACTTTACTGATGAGGGTTTAACTTAGGTAAGACATATGGAGAAAAAAAGGACAGTGGCTGACTTCAGGAAAGGTGAAGTGACACTACTGACCACCAGCTGTGTCACCCTGTGTTAGTTTGCCAGTGATTGCCTTCATCGGCCGTCTGAGAACCTGTTTCCGGAGAACATGGAGATGTGGAACACTCTGATTAGCTTGTCC